CTGCGAATAGTTTTGAATGACTTCAGAGAACTCACAAACAATTTCAAAAACAACTGTTATCTTTCAAACTAATGAAATACATTTACATGAATGGCAATTTGCAACGTCGTCATTCTGATCTGAGATCTACATTTTTCGAAGTCAGCCATCGATACTCAGAAAAACACCTAAAAAAAGGCAAGCCACAACGAATTCGGTGAGAATTATTTTCATGAAATCTGACAACAGCTCTTCATAGTATGTCACAAGGCCACTACCGTCAGATTTTAATAAGATCCGAATCCTCATCAGTGTCATGTCAATCACCTGCTTTGTGAGGTCCAACAGCTCTAAAAATATATCCGTTCAAAACAGAAAAACCGGATTTGCTTCGCTTATACTCAGTACATTGGTGTCTTTTTTTTAAAATTGTAGGTCTAAAATTAGCGTGAATCCTCAATTTTCCTGGTTGCTCCTCCCAAAAAAAACGCAGATTGAGCTGAGCCGCAAGACTAGTTCAACAGAATCTTCATTTGTTTTCATATTCAAGAGAGGGTGAGATCCGCGCCACCTCCCGCAAACGAATCAAATCCTCTTGATCGTTTTTGATTAATTTTAGTTGGAGTACTAGGGTGCGGCTTATACGATAAATTAAAATGATGAATTTAAAAATTGACAAGGTACCCCACTAAAACGATCCAAATAGAGTAAAAACAAACAACAATTTTGCATTTGATCAACATTTAGAGGTCCCGACGAACCCTCAAATTCGCCAGAATTGATGAAAAAATGTAGAAATTAGCCAAACTTTGAAATTATGAGGGTTTGTCAGGACCTCTAAATGTTGATCAAATGCAAAATTGTTCTACAACGTTTGTTTTTACAATATTTGGAACGTTTTGGAGGGGTCCCTTGTCAATTTTGAAATTCATCATTTTAATTTATCGTATGAGCCGCACCCTATTGGAGTACCTAGATGTTCTATTACTCTAATTTTCCAATTTTTCCTACTATTTATGCATGTTGCATGTGCGGGTTGCATACTCTAGCCCTTAGAAATTATGAAATATTTCACAGCCTCGTGAAATTTCATGAAATAATTCGCTGGAATTTCCAATCTTCCATTTCTTTCTTACGTTTTATGCCACCCTGCCCCCCGGTGGTATGGGGTCCAGACACCCCCCCCCTTAGCAAAATGACCCAGGTTCACTTATGAGATTCGCTCGTTGCGCTTAGAGTCCCTTTATACTGAGAGTGAAGACAACACCCCTTCATGGAGTCACAAACGGGAATAAAGATTATAGAAATTGAACGTTTTTCGTAATCTTTGATCGGCCCGTTCTCAAATTCCTTTCTCCGTCCCTTCTCTCATTCCGTTTGTCCCTTGCCGAACCCGTAATTCCCTGGTCCATTCCAGAATATAATCTTTGGCGTCGGTGAAAATGTAATCTTTATTCCCGTTTGTGACATTGTGAAGGCCTAAAATACGGGAACCAATCAGAAATGGATTCACATTGTCTTGACTCTCAGTATAGAGTACCTGTATAGCGAGAGTATAGACAGATGTGAAACTCCGAAAATCCATCAGGCCTCCACCGATGCCCCCGCGAATAAAGTTAGGGCCCAGAAATGCAGCCAACTTATGAATTTCAATTATCCAGGACGATTTATTAATACAATTGTTACGAATCATCGTTTATAAAGCACGTATTTGACTTAGTTTTTGCATAAATTTACTCATTTTTGTGGAAGAACGCTCATTTATGTACTTTCTTAGCCATCTTCGTTAGAATTGAAATCCACAGACTGGCAGTGAAATTTAGTGCGTCAGAAGTTGGTTAGAAGGGTAGCTGCACTTTTGGGCCCTAAGCTCTCCATGAAGCGATCTGTCCATACTCTCGCTATACAGGTACTCTATCTCAGTATAAAGGGACTCTACGTGTAGTTGCACTCTGTTTAATAAAAATGTTTGTTTCGTGTTGTCAGTTGGTGGGATGTTACGAGTGGCGGATCTATGTGAACCTGACTGAGGACTCGCGTGCGTACCGACAACTGGCGGCCAGCGTGATCCAGCTCACTCTCACCGATGGCGAGCTCGTCGAGATCCCTTCTCTCTTCGACTTTGCCAGTCTTCAGTTCCAGGCCGTCCCTTTCCTCATCGCTTTCCCCAACCTCCAGTCCGTCAGCTTCGCCCACAATAAAATACAGAAAATCCAGCTCGATACATTCAGGTAGCAACTTTGCCGATTCTTCGAGGAGTTCAGTTCGGGCAGGGAATCATAACACGCTGCTGCTCTATCTGCTGCAGGGTTGCAATTTTTCATGGAGAATAAAATCTCGAAATTTCGTGTGGAGTATTTCGTGAAATTTCAGAAAAATATGAAAAATATTTTTCGAAATAAAATGAAAAATTAAATGAAAGACGACTGGCTTTTGCTTTTTGGGGCTAGTGCGTGTTGCATACCCAGCCTGTGAAACGATGTTTCATATTTTTCACAACTTTGCGAAATTTCACGAAATATTTCATGGGAATTGTCGATACTACATTTTTTTTTTTCATTTCACCCATGCAACCCTGGTTGTGGTACCGAAAAAAAAAAATTCGACGGTGAAATTTTATTGTAATATCGTCATTGTTGACGCCATCTATGGTGACCTTTTGGTCTGGAGGAATCAGGTATATACAGAAATCTTGCACGCGCTGTAATGTAATCACCAATATAACCACGTTCATTCATATGTATTGATCATTGTATTATAGAACTATTGTCAACAGAGCATAGCAGCGAGCTCATTCTGACCAGTTCGCCTTCAATACTTAAGCGGGCAATATGCCTTGCACCATTGTGCGGCTTAGGAGCAGTAACAGTTGTTTGCAGTAATGAGGCTTCGTTCCTNATGGATTTGTCAAAAATTATTATTTCGGCATAGCTACTAACTATTTTTTCATTAATAAGTTGTTAGAGTTCCATTTTTGTTGAGGGTTGTCCTCATAGTATTAAGACCTCTGTGTCACAGTGACAGCATTCCGAAGAGAATAGGACCAGGCTATTGTCATGTTTCATACTTGTATTTCAAAATGGATTTAAGCATTCACATTATGATCTCGGCACTGGATGTAAATTCTTGGTAGCATTCGCTGACCCCTCCATTCTGATAAAAAATACATCCATCTCCCAGTGAAATATATCTGGAAAAAAGTTGCATTTTCTCAATACGCAACGGTGCAGTGTCTTGGCAGTGCCAATCATAACAAGCTCATATATGTATAGAGCATGTTGAAAACATATCTTTGATCTAGATGCCTCAAAATAATTGAGATACTTGGTAAAAGTAAAAAATCGGCTACATGTTGAAGTACTTGCTATATATTTGAAGGCAAGACTATACTCACGTATCGATCGAAAAAAATATTTTCACGGATATTTATAAATAAATATAAAAAAATCACAAAAGTCTAAACAAATTACCAAAAAAAATTAAACAAAATAAAAAAAATTAAATTAGAAGCATCTTTATTTTAAAATCATTTTATTATTTTTTGTTTGAAAAGAATTATGAATAAACTTGGCAGCAGTATTTTTTCCAAAACCAATCGTTACCTGGGACTGACATCAGCCCTTGATATTTTGCCTTGATACGAGTTAAGATACGCATTGAAGTCATGTTCAACAAGAAAAAATCATAATCCATACAGAGTTCAAAGTTTTAAGCATGGCAACGCTGTATCACCACCGGTCAAAGAATTTTTCTTCAAATACAAACATTCGTCTACAGAACAGATGACATAAATGGTCGATTTCCTGCCTCAAATCGTGATTAAATTCTACAAAAGTAGCTTCTTAAACACAGAACTCAAAAATATAGACATTTTTAAAGCTCAAATATATAAACTTTGCAACCCTGTATCATTTAAACTATACTTGCATTTTGAGTTAAATTTTAACAAAAGCCTTAATCTATCATAAAATTGCATCTAAACCCCAAAAGCATATCTTTCAGCCGTCACTAAGTTCGTTTTTAAGTTAGGAAACTTGATAAAATGAACATTTTTTATAGGTTTTTATGTCAACTTTGCAACGTTGTTTTAACAGAATTAGTAGTATTAATGTTTCAATTGAAATATGCATTCGATAATAATACTAACATTTGATAAAATGTCACAAAATATCATAAAACATCCAATTGAATCGTTCTGAGAAAATAAGATACCTGAGAATATGAGAATTTTAAAGCTCAAATATGCCAACTTTGCAACGCTGTATCTCGGAAACTAGACGTATACTCAAGCTAAAATTTTTACTGGAGGCTTACCTCATCATAAGGTTTCATTTAAGCCACAAACGAACGAAATCCCCGGGTTCCCGAAAAGGGGCCAAAAAAGGCCCTTTTTTAGGGAGGCTCTTTAGTGCGTCAGAAGTTGGTTAGAAGGGTAGCTGCACTTTTGGGCCCTAAGCTCTCCATGAAGCGATCTGTCCATACTCTCGCTATACTAGAGTCCCTTTATACCCAGAGTTACGACAACTCACTTTTGGTTGGGCCAGGATTGGGCTGAAAGTGGCCTAAAAAAAAATCCAATTCTGATTGGTTCTCGCTCATGGAGGCCGAAACGAGTGCACCAAGATGGCGATACCTCGAATGTGAACAAGAATAATGAAAATATTACCTAATTGTGGTTTATCAAGAGTAAATTGTTATTTCCATAGGTCCAAAATGAAAATAGATGAAGAAATTATTCACAAACCAATCTCATTTTCTTTTTAATTGATCACTTTGTTGATGTTGTTGTTTTTGTGTGACAGACATCGCAGGATTCCTGATCCTTATCCCCCAATATCGTTCGTTTTGGTGCACTCGTTTCGGCTTCCATGGCCAGCCAAGGACGGCTGCCGGTCAGCTGATAATCGAGTTGTCGTAACTCTGGGTATAAAGGGACTCTACGCTATACAGGTACTGTATCTCAGTATAAAGGGACTCTAGTTGCACTCTGTTTAATATAAATGTTTGTTTCGTGTCGTCAGTTGGTGGGATGTTACGAGTGGCGGATCTATGTGAACCTGACTGAGGACTCGCGTGAGTGCCGACAACTGGCTGCCAGCGTGATCCAGCTCACTCTCACCGATGGCGAGCTCGTCGAGATCCCTTCTCTCTTCGACTTTGCCAGTCTTCAGTTCCAGGCCGTCCCTTTTCTCATCGCTTTCCCCAACCTCCAGTCCGTCAGCTTCGCTCACAATAAAATACAGAAAATCCAGCTCGATACATTCAGGTAGCAACTTTGCCGATTCTCCGAGGAGTTGAGTTCGGGCAGGGAGTCATAACACGCTGCTGCTCTATCTGCTGCGGGGTTGCAATTTTTCATGGAAAATAAAATCTCGAAATTTCGTGTGGAGTATTTCGTGAAACTTCAGGAAAACATGAAAAATATTTTTCGAAATAAAATGAAAAATTAAATGAAAGACGACTGGTTTTTGCCGTTTGGTGCTAGTGCGTGTTGCATACCCAGCCTGTGAAACGATGTTTCATATTTTTCACAACTTTGCGAAATTTCATGAAATATTTCACGGGAATTGTCGATACTACATTTTTTTTCATTTCACCCATGCAACCCTGGTCGTGGTACCGAAAAAAAAAATTCGACGGTGAAATTTTATTGTAATATCGTCATTGTTGACGCCATCTATGGTGACCTTTTGGTCTGGAGGAATCAGGTATATACAGAAATCTTGCACGCGCTGTAATGTAATCACCAATATAACCACGTTCATTCATATTGATCATTGTATCATAGAACTATTGTCAACAGAGTATAGCTGCGAGCTCATTCTGACCAGTTCGCCTTCAATACTTAAGTAGGCAATATGCCTTGCAGCATTGTGCGGCTTAGGAGCAGTAACAGTTGTTTGCAGTAATGAGGCTTCGTTCCTCGCTCATTTGCATTAAAAATTGGATCAAATGACTACTATTCAGATATACTAACAGTGCATTGTTTTAAACTCATTCAAACCAGTTCTCCTTCAAATTCAAAAGAGGCAAGAGGCAATACAAGTAGCTTCGGAGCAAAATGAGTTTATTACAGTAATATTGCCATCATTTATTTTAAATCAAACACATCATGATGATATCATGTATTGAGGATGAAGGACTGCGTCCTTTAGGTGCCTATAAATAACCACATAATTAATCTACTTTTAGTAAGTTTTCCTCCAGTTCGAACCGTAGCACAAAGAATATATTGGTTTAAAGTTGTTAGTTTAACTTTCTACAAATTCTAAGAAGATTTTCTGGTTAGGGATACAGTACCAAAAAATGGACCGAGTTCATCAGAAAGGAACCAACCCACATTTTCGGAAAAACTTAGTTAAGAATGTTTTTGAGTTCCACTAGCCGTTTATTTTCTCCTGTCAAAAACTGGAAGTTGAAAAACAGAAATTAGGTTGTGAAAAGAGGGGCTGAAGTTCATTTTCTACATTGAGCTTTATGCGGGAATAAAACTTCAAACCTTTTTTTCTCAGTTCCAACTCAATGTGGGTTGGTTCCTCTCTGATGAACTTGTCCAAATAATGTTTTATTTGACGATACGGTACCGACGAATCACCACCTTGATTATTTATTGAATAAGGTGCGAGTAAATGCTCCTCTAAATACGAACCGATAAAAGTAACCTATTGGTGAGGAGAGGGACGCTTGAGGTTAATAATTTATTGAAACATATTTTTCCCGTACAATTTTCCGGAATAATTGGACCATTTATGTTGTGGCTGAGGCCAAGCCTCTGTAACATTCGAATTTTTCGCCACTGTTGATAGAGATGTATCCGTATGTTTACCACACGAGTACTTTAGTTAAGTATTATAACGATGATTTTAAGCATTGAATAAAATGTCGTACCTTGAAAACTCAAACAGGGCTCTCTCGAAGAATTCACTGAAATTAGTATCCCTGAAAGAAAATTCTGATTCTGAATTCTAAGAATTCTTGAACTTGATTTAAAAATTATCTCCATGACATCTCCATCATTCTAATATTTACTCACTATTTTCTGCTACAGCTTCAAACTTGCACGCGACTCGATATGTCCTCGGAATTAATTATCCTCTTAATTTACCTATACTTCAAAAGATTATTCAAGCAGAATTCTACATTTTTCTCTAGAATTGTCTAGACCTACCTCAAGGTGATTTCTGTTGGAGGCGGTGACAAAATAAAAATGCATATACATACCTATTCAGCAAGACCGTCAGGGTTGAATCTTGTTTCTTCTTTCCTATTTTTAAATTGGACGTATTTCTGCCAAACGGAACCATGTGCATTATGACTTGAGCCCTGTTATGTATGCATTCTTATGGGTCTCATGGCTCATGTCTTAATGCACATAGTTCCGTTTGGCAGAAATACGTCAAATTATGCTGAGGCCGAGGATTAGGATCCCGAAATTGATGTAACAAATCGGAATGAATATTTGAATACTCTATCGTTCTCTATGAGTTAATTAACCAAAAACTACTCAAACAGAGGGTAACTTTCAAATGGCAACACTGCAGATTTTCTCCCACGATGAATCTAACATGCATGTTCATTCTTATCAAGATGTAAATACTCGCGCGGAGTAGACATTCCGCGAAGAATTGGAAGTCGCATGACATTGTATTCGGTCCCATTTCATAACATCACTTTATGCGGGCCTGCCCATTCACATGCGCAGATATAATCCACTGAATTGGACGTATTTCTATCAAACGGAACTATGTGTATTATGACGTGAGCCCTGTAATGCGTATATCCTTATGAGTCTCAGGGCTCATGTCTTAATAGCACATAGTTCCGTTTGATAGAAATACGTCCAATTATGAATCAAACCACCTCGCATACGGACCCCAACGCGAGCTGGATTTAAGCGGGTCATCCAAAGTTTTATGAGTCTTGGGCGATTTGGACGCTGTGTGGGAATCAAGTGATGAAAACCGCTCTTGTGGTCGCGAGTTGAGGCTAGAGTCCGCTTATACCCAGAGTTCAGACAACTCTATCGTCAGCTGGCCTAGGGTGGCCATGGTGTCACAAAAGTGTGCATTCAAACGAACGACATCGAGGGATAATAAGGATAAGGAATCCCGCGATGTCTGTCATTCAAAAACAACATCAACAAAACTGATCAAAATCCTACCAAAGAAATTACAATAAAGTAAAATGGACGGAGTTAAACAGAGAGGAACCAAGCCACATCGGGATCGAACCGAGAAAAAGAGGGTTTAAATTTGGCTCCTGCATAAGACTCGATGTAAAAGATAAACTTCAAGTTCAATTTCTGCAAAATTTGCTCCAACAAAAACTTTGAATTTTTGGAGATAGATAGTAGAGCAGTGGTTGAGTTCAAAACCGCTCATGACTCAATTTTTTCCAAAACGTGCGTTGGTTCCTTTCTGCTTAACTCGGTCCAAATGAGAGTGATTTGTGAATAATATCTCAATCTTTATTCATTTTGGTGCGATGAAAATAACAATTTGCTCTTGATTAATCACTATTAGGTTATATTTTCATTATTTTTGTTCATATTCGAGCCACTGCTATCTTGGTGCACTCTTTTGTGACTCCATGAGCGAGAACCAATCAGAATTGGTTTTTTTTTTAGGTCACTTTAAGCCCAAACAGAATTGAGTTGTCGTAACTCTGGGTATAAAGGGACTATAGTTGAGGTCGAAGATAAAAACCCTTGTCATATTCCGCGGACTAACCCGGGAAGATCTGCCGTGCCAAGCAAAAACGCCGTAGGAGCCATCAGGCGTCGCCAAATTCCGTCCGGAATTCACCAATTTTCGGGATAATTTGTGACTATTTTTCTTCCAATTTTTCAGAGGATTTCGTTCGGCATTTGATCTAAAATGTCTGCAATTTCCAAGGAAAAATATTCATAACTTTCTTCAAAAATGAATATTTTCTAGGGAGAAATTTTGCAACATTCGAATGTTTTTACGGCGTTTTTACTTAGCACGGCAGGGCTAGATGATCTTCTGTCATGATTGCCGAACTTTCAAAATACGCTCCAGTGATTTGGTATGGCGCCGAGTACTCAGCCTTAAGGTACATATAAGGCGGGAGTCGGCAAATACATCAATATATTGAACAAATATTGCCAAAATGTCAATTTCACTTTAGAAGACGGTAAAAGTGCCTGTTCAGCTTGACTCATCGACTTATCGAATGAAAGTATTTCGCGTCCGCATACATAGTACTTTCAGTTGTATTTTCGGGTTTAAAAAAATCAAATTTCTGATAGAGACGGCTGAAATGTGCCTTTCGAAGTGATGGATCCGTCATAGCCAAGAATCTAAAGTAGAACCAGTTACTTGGCAAGATTTTTCGATAGGTCGATGCTCGTTCTTGGTGTAGGTTTACCATAGATAATTGTGAAAATATTTTGCGAGAAATATATAGACTGAGCAGAAGATATCAATTTTAGAAAAAAATCATTCACTTCTAATCCATTAAAGTGCCTCAGTAGATGCACGTTTTACCAAATCCCTCCTTCATAGATAAGTCCCTTTGCTGATGACGTCCAATGAATCGATAAAAGAGATGCACCCACTTATCGATATAACACTGTTATATCGTAAATCAAACGGATTATGATTAGTACCGAAACTAGATGTTAAGGATTAAGTACTCAAATTAGTCTTTAAACACGCATAAAATCAATGAGGCGACTGAAGGCGACTTATTCTTCAGTATTTTGAAGTCGATAAGCCGTTAGCCATAATCTGCCGTGCTAAGGAAGAACGCCGTATGAACATTCGAATGTTGCCAAATTTTCTCTTAGGAAATATTTAATTTTGGAGAAAATTATGAATATTTGTCCTTGAAATTTTGAGACTTTTTAGACCAAATTACGAACGAAACCATCTCTAAAATTGGAAGAGAAATCATAAATTTTCCGAAAATTCACGATTTGTAGAAGGAGATTTTGCAACGCCTGAAGGCTCATACAGCGTTTATCCTCAGCCAGGCAGTAATCTTGTCTTATCTTATTATATATTTTACGAGTGTGCGATTTGGAGGTATAGACCTGAAGTATACATATATCTTAAATTCAAGTATTATCGTTAAAAGCCATCGAGTTTGTTCTAGAATTCTATAATTATATACCTTTTTTTAAAAGTCATTAAAAATGTATGCTAAAAAAATACTACCCGTATGATATTGCAAACAGTCGAGAAAGACACTCTCTTACTCGCGCAAGAGCACCTAAAAGAGCAAAAAGAAAAATCGCGACGAATAAAATACCTACATTTTCTCTCAATTTTGGAGAGGAGACAGATCTATTCGATAAGTTGACTGAACCAACTCGCACATCTATCGCAAATCTCGTAGCATACAATGACACAAAAATATTTATGCGGTTAAATCCGTTAGCTTCGTGATAATATCATTCTCGTGAACGTGGATCAAACGGATTCAGCAAAAGGGAATCGACGCGACGCGATTAGGTTCAGTACTTTTCAAAATCCTGCAACTTCTTTTTTGTTTTAGAGAAATATACTAAATATGTATAGTAATGAAATGTACTCGATCGGTACCCTTTAAAATTAACAATTTTTGGGTAAAGAAAAACAAGCAGTGAACTCCAACACAATGTGTTGATAAGGCGCGTCATTAACTCGCACATATCAACCCCTTTAGTTTTCATTTACAGAGATTTCAAAATAGGCAAACAGCATAAAAAGAGAATTCACGATCCAACACTGCGAGGTCAAAGACGCACCTTGACGAGACCGTGTATTGTGAAAGTAGAAAGCTATTCGATCGAATTTAAGTTTTTTGATCNAGGAGATCAGAAGGTGCCAATTGCCTGATGATCTCTGGGAGGATAGGGGGCAATGGCGATTGGGCGTCGCAGAGCGCGAGGCGGCGCTATAATCGCGACTTTATGTATGTATAAGCCATTAGCCATAATCTGCCGTGCTAAGGAAGAACATCGTATGAACATTCGAATGTTGCCAAATTTCCCCTCAGAAAATATTTAATTTTGGAGAAAATTGTGAATATTTGTCCTTGAAATTTTGAGACTTTTAGACCAAATTACGAATGAAATCCTCTGTAAAATTGGAAGAGAAATGTTCATAAATTTTCCGAAAATTCAGGATTTGTAGAAGGAGATTTTGCAATGCCTGAAGGCTCATACAGCGTTTTTCCTTAGCCAGGCAGTAATCTTGTCTTATCTTATTGTATATTTTACGAGTGTGCGATTTGGAGGTATAGACCTGAAGTATACATATATCTTAAATTCAAGTATTATTGATAGAAGCCATCGAGTTTGTTCTAGAATTCTAGTTATATACCTTTTTTTAAAAGTCATTAAAAATTTATGCTAAGAAAATACTACCCGTATGATACTGCAAAAAGTCGAGAAAGACACTCTTTTACTCGCGCAAGAGCACCTAAAAGAGCGAAAAGAAAAATCGCAACGAATAAAATACCTACATTTTCTCTCAATTTTGGAGAGGAGACAGATCTACTCGATAAGTTGGCTGAACTAACTCGCACAATCGCAAATCTCGTAGCACACAATGACACAAAAATATTTATGCGGTTAAAATTTTTTGGTATTTACGGGACACAATTGGACCGCGTCAAACAGAAAGGAATCAAGCCACATCAGCTATTGCCAAATTTAATTGGGCAATTTAATTTTTTACATGAAAACGGTTGTGCGGATTTTTGTGCAAATTTCTGTGAATTTTCTCCATAATACTAAGCAAATTCCTTAAAATTGTCAAAAGAATCCGCACAAACGTTCTCTCGTAAAAAATCAGATTCCCCTGTCAAATTTGGCAATGGCTGATGTGGCTTGGTTCCTTTCTGTTTAACGCGGTCCAATTTTTCATTCGTTAGCTTCGTGATAATATCATTCTCGTTAACGTGGATCAAACGGATCCAGCAGAAGGGAATCGAAGCGATTAGGTTCAGTACTCTCCAAAATTCTGCAACTTATTCTTTGTTTTAGAGAAATATACTACATATGTATAGTAATCAAATATACTCGATCGGTACCCTTTAAAATTAACAATTTTTGGGTAAAAAAAACAAAAACAAAAAAAACTAATTATTTACTACTTTAGACATTTTTTACTTAATCGCTACGTGCGAGGATGCACGATTTTCACAACACTATAAGCGTTGTTAACTTTTTGCTAAATGCAATCCAAAGTATTGCATTATTTTTTTTCTTAAATTAAATTTGTATGTGTGTTAAGCGGTTCCTAATAAACTTTCTCTCTCTCTCTCCCTCCCTTCCATATTTAGATTATCAAAAAGTATATTATATAGTCAAGCGGTCACTTTCAATGACTTTGCAGGGAGGGGTAATTTAACCTTATAGGAGAAAGGTTGTTTCATTTTGTCTGTGCATCATTGCGAATCTTCTAATTTAACCTTTACCGCTTAGAAATTTGGGACATGAGGTTAATGTCTTGGGCGAATGAGGAGAATATCAGCCTCGTGATGTTCAATCATAAGAGCTCTTGTTAAATAATAGTATGAGAGAAAAACGTGCAAACCCTAACGAGATGCATTGTACTGTATTACCATTTCTCAAGTCAACGTGACTCAAATGAAATATAAGCTTTAATCCCCATCTGTTTCATTTTCGATATTTCGCAGTTATAATCTTCAACTGCGAGAACTTTACCTCAACTCAAATGAAATTGAAGCTATTCAGAGTGGAGCTTTCAAAAAATTAACACTCTTGACCACACTGAATTTAAGCAAGAACAAACTCTTTGAGGTGCCAGCTCTTCTCCCTCTGTCCCTGCTAAACTTAGATTTGTCGGACAATCAGCTCGAAAGAGTTGCACCGCAAACGATAGAAGAGGTAAGTTTTTTTGAAGGCTTTCCATTTTTGAATGCTATATATCACTACATGATCACTTTAGGAACGAATGTTTAACCGAATGACATGTTTAATGAATGGCATATTTAGATGACATGTTTAATCAGACAAATCGCAGTATTTCCACTGTATTTACTGCCTGTTATCACGTGGAGATGAACTCTCTTGTTTTCTCCTGCACTTAATTTTTGGTTTATACTACGTTTGGGATCTACAGTCATCTATGGACGAAATTATTTTCATGTCCATGCACATCAGAAAACTCAAGGTATGGATTCAAAGATCACTTGGACCGCGTTTAACAGAAAGAAATCAAGCCACATCAGCTATTACAAAATTCCATTCGGCAATTTAATTTTATACATGAAAGCGGTTGTGCGGATTTTTGTTCAAATTTCAGTGAATTTTCTCTATGGTGCGAAGCAAATTCCTTAAAATTGTCAAAGGAATCCGCACAAACGTTCTCACGTAAAAAATTAAATTGCCCAGTTAAAGGCAATAGCTGATGTGGCTTGGAACCTTTCTGTTAAAAGCTGTCCACTTTTCAAACAGTTGAAGGAAAACAAGACAGAGGTCTGGTGTTTTGGATGGAAAATATACTTTAAACCACTTTTTCTCTCCTCTAACTGAATGTGACAGGGTTCATCCCTGTTTAAATTAATACACATGAAGTACAGCTCACATCAATTAGTGTACATGGTTGAAATGAAAAATTTTGCTCGGGAAAGAAAGAGGAAGAATTCTGCAAGTACGAGAGCATGGATTTCAGGTAAATTACTTATAGTCAGATGTTAAGGTGATATTTTAACTGAATGACTCCGTAAGATTATAGCTCCTCGGTAAGCACGTACTTGGGGGCCAAAATGCTTATAAGTACTTATTTAACTAGAAATATAGATTAGATAATGATATTTTTATGAAGTTTTCAGTAAGTGGAGGGTCGAGTGATAGGTGCATGCAAGATAAAATTTTTCCCTGCATAGCTGCCGCTCGGCTTAAAAAAGTATGCTCGTATTGAACTCCCTTATTATTACTTCGTATGGTAGTTTCCGAAATTCTAAATTTTATGTACGTCGACACCCTTAGTTTTAGAAATTGTCTTAGTTCTTTGTCTTTCTATCTTTTTCGTCAAGAATTTTTCATACATTGTTCCGATGTTTAGTTTCCTCATACATTTTTCCTTTTCCAACCTGAACTTGAGGCGACTTATCCGACTATACTTTTTGCAATTTTCACTAATGTCATAAGTCAATAAATATCAACCTTAGGAAGTATCTTTCTTTGGCTAGTCACCAAAGCAGGCCATCCCTTCAGGAGAAATTTACGATCTATATAGTGGCTACTCTCACAGGTTTCGAATAGTTCCAAAAAATATTGCATTGCTCAATCTCTCCGCTTGATATAAACAATCTATTTGACGGAAAGTATAGGTGCGAGAGACAGTCTGCTTCTGGCCGCAATTTTATTAAAAAATCCAGTGATATGAATTAACAGTTATTTAAAAATAAAAAGTCATTCAATGTAAAATAAATCTCATTATGTCAATGGCTAAAGTCGAGAAACGTGTATCTCCGATCGCATATCCGCGCTCATGTTTTATTGTTTTGAAAGAAAACGAACCAACGTTTTTTTCTCACAATTTTCAGTAAATGTTTTTCATTTTTTCGAAAACGATTCGCAGGCAGTTTGAAGGAGATGTTTGGTTAATTTCCTTTAATAAAAATAAAGCACAATCGGAGATTTTGAAAGTTTTTAATATAGAATACACATGATTCAACTTTAGCTTTTGATCAGGTAAATGTTTGGAAAAATATGAGGTATAATCAAGAAATTATTTTAATGATTTAAGTCCTAGAGCTGCATGTGAGTTTTTGTGGTCATATTTGTCTGTGATTATGCGACGGAAGGGCAAAGTTTGCAAAATGTTCATGTACCAGATAATTTGATGGAATGCCAAAACTTCGTGAAATAACAACATAACATGCGGTAAAAACGTGTGAAAATAATCGTCTCATGTTACGTTACAAGTCAAGGAGCACACTCCTACGATTCTTATCAATTATAAAAAAATTGCTTTATAGACTTATTAACAAAATATGCAAGGTGATAAACGCATTTGGTACGGTACAGACACGCAGAGAAAAACTTAGATTGATAAAAAGTCCGCATTCCAATTAATTATTATCATATTAGTGAGGGAGTGAAAGTAGTAATGAGTAATTCGGTGAGAGCGATAAAGCCACCTTTCTGGACTGTGCCCTTTAATTAGAGCATCTATTTGCATGCACAATATATAAACTTACCTTGCATTCTTTAAGTGAGATAGGCTTCGGCATAAACCCCCCTGGAGGTTATCACAGCCTTTGACGACCGCTCTCTTAACCTATCAAGACTTTGGTATTTGCAATTTTTCGTCTCAAAAGAATATTCTATTCATTACACACAAAAATGATGTCCTTGCTCTAAGACGTATTGTAAAGACTGTGAATTGTTTAATTTGTTAAGCATTGAGGTATCATCTTCCAACGACACTCGCAAAGTCTATATGTTTTTTAAAAACAGTCAAACTGTAATCCTGGAATGAAATAAATTCGCAGGGAAAAAATTTCTCACCAATTTGTCCGAAAATTAAACCAAAGCCAACTTACTACATTTGCCATTATGTTAAACGGAACCTGAAACATGTCTTATTACTGTACAACTTACACTATAGCCAAAGTGAAAACTTTTCACCCAAGGGCAGGGCCGGATTTAGGGGGTGGCTACATGGGCAGCGGCCAATGGCGACAAATCTAGGGGCGGCAACTTTTGCAATTTTTTTACATGTAGGTATAAAAAAAATCGTATTTACAAAAAAAGATTACACACGAGAAAGGGCGACAAAATCTCTCATTTTCTGAGAGAATAGTAATATCTAATTTTTTAGTCTATCAGTGATACAGGACAGCACCTTTAATTAGTCGAGTTAATAAAGCAAACAAACACGCAATTTGGCCTGGAACGGCGCGCGGCGCGGCTTATAGAGAAATGATGACGAGGACTCGAGATGAAAAGAAGAAGCCCTCGGCGCGGCGGTCGGCATGTAACACATATTACAGCCTACAAGACTGCATGAATACTTCACGCATTGCATCAAACACAGTGCGATCACTGCGGTCAGCGTGAAACGCATAGCGCCTACAAGAACGCACGAATACTTCACGCATTGCGCCAAGCACAGTGCGGTCAGCGTGAGACGCATAGCGCCTACAAGACTGCATGAATACTTTACGCATTGCGTCAAACACAGTGCGTTCAGCATCGGTCGGCGTGAAACGCATAGCGTCTACAGGACTGTAGGAATTCTTCACGCATTGCGCCAAACATAATGTAGTCTGCGCGGCGCGGCGGCGGAAGTTAAAATCATTAAACCACATCTTTGTTTGTTTTTTCATAATTTTTTCGTCTCTTTATCATAAATGGAAGGCCTTGTCCACACAGAGATTGGTTTACAGAACTTAACTCTCAGGAAAAGTTCCGTGAACTTTTCCTAGTATTGTTGACAGGGCTCTCCCAAAAAAGTGTCCAACACGAGTAAACGCGTTTTATGCACCCCTCCCCTCCGGTGCGTTCACTTGATGGTTTTTATTGATGTTTCAAAACAAATGAGAAGGGGTCGGCAAAATACAGGCGGCTCAAGGGCGGCAAGTTGGTAAATCCAGTCCTGCCCAAGGGACCAAAAAATATGGTTTTCAGCAGACATTATGCACCAAGGCACAGAATTTGGACGGACTCAAATTTACTTTCATTTAAAAAACGAGTCGCAAAATTTTTCGTGCAATCTGAGGCCGGATCACCTTCAACTTAATAAAAGTGAGGAATCCAGAAATAGATTTATTTAACCGTTTTGCCCTATTACAATGTTTTACTTACTTACTTAGAAATAGTTGTGCATTTTTTTGAAATTTTGGTGAATTTTCTGTATGTTTAAACAAAATTTTTCCAAACTTTTAAGTACAATACAATAGGGACCTACTGAATAAGATTCAATCAATTCTTGCGAATGAGACCATGAATAATGAAAATGTAACTAAGCGACTTTCCGGCTCTGACTACTTCAATTCATTGAGGCTTTACGTTTTAACAAAGGGCGTCGAGAAGCACATCTCAAAAAAATAAAATCCTTCAGCATGAATTACCGAAATAATGTAACAACGTACATTATGTAAAAGCAAATAACTTGATAACTGCAGACACGTTCGCAAATTTTTTTCATGTACTCCACTTCACAGGTATTAGAGAGGTAGAGAGGTAGACAGGAGCAGAGTTCAAGTTGGCACTAAAGTGAGTAAAGATGTTTTTGCTTTCAGTAAACAAGACTCTTTTGCGTTCAGATAAACGTGTTTTAACATGTGTTCCTCGGTAGTTCTTGCAGAATCGCTTAAAATATCAACAGTTAGGTTTAAGAAAACAATAAACTTTCACTGATCTAAGGCCGATCCAGACACTTCGAATCGGGGGAGGGGGGGGGGGGGGGGGGCGACGGGCTTCCCTTTTTGAAATTTCAATGCATCTAATATGCAGTTTGAGTCAATTTTGTCACGAATTCGTAGTAAATATAAGCGTCCTTCCTTCTTCTTTCCTCCGTTCCTTCCTTTTTTCTTTCTTCCTTTTTTTCTGGTGAACGGGGGACAATGAGACATACACCTATGACCTATGGCACTGATCGAAAAAATCACGAACAGTTAAAATGAGTATTTTAAATACTGCCGTTATTTTTATACTTTTCTAGTTTATTACGTTTTTGTCGTGCAATAACTCAGACACGAGATTAAAATTATATCCTCTTTTTGGGTGGGGGGAGGGGGGTTCGACTTGACCAAAAAATACGCTGGGTAAATTTGTTCTCCTAATCTGGAGCATGAATTTTTTTCTTCTTTACGGTGTTTTTCCTATGTTAAGAACGTATCGTTACAATCAGGCGGATTTAAATGTTCTTAACGCCCTCAGGGAAAGAAAGTTATCGTAGTGTAAGCACCAGATTTTCCTAGTGATTCTGTTTAAACTAACGCCATTTGAAATTATTCTGAATCTGCTCTCTCTATTGCAAAATTGATTGTCTCAGCAAGAACATTGAAGGATACTTTGCCGTAAACCAAATTGCTTTTAAGCCCACCTACAAGTCTGAAGTTTCACTAAAGGTGTTGTTAGGGTAAACATTAACTCTCTTGCTTATTTTCCCGTTTGAGTCCAAAAATTGTGTTGTTTATCAGAATGTTAAAAGGCTAGAATCTTTGAATTTATGCGGGAATAACCTTAAACCGAGGACATCTTTAAATCATCTGGAATTCGGGAACTTGAGAAGACTATGTCTTGGCAGTGCTGGAATAGGTTTTCCTCTGCAAAAAAACGAGATTTTGGATTTTCAACTCGTGAACCTCACGCTTTCATCAGAAGGAAGTCTCCATTGGTCACTTAACGCGAGTTCCCTCAGTGCCATCAGGAAACTTCTACGACTTCAAGAACTGAATATAGGTGAGGAATCGTAATTTAAGCACGTTTTGATTGGTGGCGTTGCGTCCATGTAAATAAAGGGAAGCACTGCTTTGCTATTTTCTTTCAATGGATATAATGTAAGGGACATTATATTTCAAGTGATAATTATTTAAAATGTAACACAACAAAAAGAGTCAAGTCATTTTTTTTCTTTTTTTTCTTTTTTTCATATTTTAGTTACTTTGCTTTAGCTCTCTCCGAGAATAACAGGTGAAGAAATTAGACTCTAAACAACTTTCTCCTCTCAGTGTGTAGAGTAATGGCATGGTAATGTCCGAAAGCGCTAACTTTCGAAAGCGGAAACCCCAAAAAAGAGAAAAGCATATGTAAACCAAAAGCGCGCAGAGAGAGTGTCGAGACTCACCTCAAAAGCGCAAATCCCTGAATGAAGGAAAACCTTGGAAGAAACATTTACTGGATGTTTGTCCGTGCCTTAACTTATATATTAAACGAAGAACTTTAGACTGACTTTAAGGATTGTTCTTCGAAAATTTCTCAACTTAAAGTCAAGAGTGTTTTCCTAAAAGGCGGAAAAAATCCAAAGAAAGGACAACTCGTTAATATAGGTGCTAACTTGCTCCGATAATTAGGTACATTTTTTGCGATTTCGAGGACTGGCAAAGCTGTAATACATTAAAACAATGAATGCAGTTCTCAGAAAATTGACTCTGTTACGAAGAATCAGTGATAGTTTACTTCATCGGCGCAGTAGCGGCTCTGAAATTTAGTTGAGGTGTGAAAGAAACAAGCAAAACGCTCTTGGTTACTGTTGCATGCGACGAACACGGAACGAATTTCAGTATAACTCCTGGATGCAACTATTCGGGCTCCGGTGAAGTCTATGTTGCATACGCTCGAAAGTGAAGGCGTTTTAGTTGTCCAGGCACTCACCGTTCCATCTGCGGCGCGGCATTACGGCGGGATGTATTACGAGGCTTCGAAATGACAAAAACCTGTGTCACACTATCAAAGCTAGCCATCAAAATATCAAGGTCAGGTGTTGTGATTGGCTTATTCGATGACTCGGACCAATCACAGCACTTCACCGTGACATTTTGATGGAGAATTTTGATAGTGTGACACAGGCTAAAGCGCCTTCCAGTCTTCCTTTATACTACGAAGATATCTCTCGAGCATGAATAGTTGCTCCACAAATCATGCTCAGCATATCGCTACATCAAAACAAAAGCACAAACGATACTCCCATCTTACGCAAGTGTACAACTAACCGTGAGCAGAGGATGTCTTTGTAGTAAAAACGAAGTATTGAGGGAGTTCTGTCAATCTGTCAATCTGGATTTTTGCAAAATAACTCATGCCCGGATTTATGCATGCATAGGCCGTCGAGGCCGCAGCTTTGGGTGGTCAAAAATGTGCGAAAAGAAAAACGAAGATAGGGAGCTAGGATAGGTGAAGAGGCGCGGCAACGGATTCAATCCAGAAGAATTAGGGTCAAGATGATGACGAATATAGACCGCAAAATACGTGATGGAGAAGTCTAAACATCTGCTTTAAATAATGTGTCGGGTTTATGATAAATTTACGAATGGTTTCAAGACATTTTGTCAACGATTTTTTGTCCGCGCACATTTTTTGTCCAGTAGTTTACGCCCACACGTAAAATAAGCAACAGTGACTTGGTCCAAGCGTTATATTTAGTCGGTATGTAAAATTATATTGACAATATGGAAATGAGAAATTGAGAGAGAAAGAGGTGTTGTTATGGTTGCTCATTTTCTAAATGAAATGTTATTACTTTCTCCTTTTGAATCACCTTTATAAATTGTTATTGGTGAATATTTTTGGTTTTATTTCTATCCTTAAAATATTCGATGTACAATATACCTTATATATGTGTAGGTACTTTTTTCATTTCTTCAATTTTTTCTTTACGAAATTATTACTTCATTGTGAAGACATTTATATTTTTAAGACGTGACAAATATTTGTAAAACCTTTTCCAAGTGACATTAATCTCGATGAGCCGCAGTTGTGCCGACAGAAACTGCAAAAATGAATAAAGAGAAAAAAAACCAAGAAGCACGCAATCTTTAGTTTCAACCCATTTGTACGTCGATCTTTTAGAGTCAAATACGTCAAATTTTGAGCGTTTGGTTGCGCGTACACCTTGCTGCAGCACAAAAAAAGCACAAAGTGTAAAAGAAAAAATTAAAGTGCTTTGGAAATCGTTAAGTTTGACACGGAACCACCAATTTTTAAAAAAACACACATTATATTATTATTCTCCTTTGATAAATTGATACATATTTTTTTCCCATCAATTCAAATGAGAATAATCAATGCAGAGTGTGCTAACATTTCAAAATCATGAGTTAAAAAACGCTGACTATGAGAGTCTATAAATATAAAAGCCTAACAGAGCGGAGCGGCGTGTTGCCAGCGCGAGAGGCTCACTGGCGCCTACAAACCTAAGTGGATACTCCTCTCATTGCACAATGCTTGAAGTATCCACTTAGGTTTGTAGGCGCCAGTGAGCCTCTTGCGCTGGCCGGCCGGCTGTGCGGCGGCGCCTGAAGCAACTGTTTCACAACAGAGGTGTTGCACAGTATTATACGAAATTGAACGTATTAAGAATGACAGACATCCTTTAACAGTACAGATCTTTCCTCGCAAAATAAATCAACATACTTATCGTGCACAGGAAAAATCTAAGAGCCTTTAGCTGAGGCAAATATAGAGGTTTATCCGGTTCAGGTATAACAAGGTGGGAATTTCTTGAAAGATAATTAAGTCCTGTCACACCAGAAAGGTGTAGAGAGTTTTAGTGAATTTTGTCTCATGGAATTGACGCTCCCCCATTTTTACCAAAACTCTCAACTATAAATTATTCTCCGTTGGACCAAACAGACAAAACAAAAAAACAAGTAAACCCTCATTCTTCCAAGACATTATATATTTTCATCCAAAAACGTCGTGAGCAATTATTGTCGTTTGTATTTACATGTGGGCCAATTAACTTTGGGTCTCAACTGGCACGTGGACCAAAACTCCCGTGCCGAAAAACGTGTGGATGTAAATTACTGGAAAAAACTGTTGCGCGGACAAAAAATCGTTGACGAAATGTCCTATAACCTTTACGAATAGCATGCCCGCCTTGGCGACAAATCGTGGGGGCGGTAATTTACGTAAATCCGGCCATGGGCAACCTGCCGCTGCCGCGCCACGGTTGAGGTGATGAGTTAAGAGTGCTCGGAGAATCGAAATGCCTTCATCTCCGTGCGTATGCAACACGGACATCCGTGAAGCTCGAATGGTTGCATCCAGGCGTTATAATGAAATTCGCTTCGTGTTCGTTGCAGGCGATACTAACCGAGGATGATTGGCTTGTTTCTCTCACACATACACGTAATTCCAATTTCTCCCGCCGCACAAAGGATCGAGTCAATCACGGAGGTCGGACATGAATTTTTTTACTCAAACTGCAAATTTTGATGTTTATTTCGTCACATTTCAAGTGGTGCTCCTAGAAGGAAATTTTACAAGGAAAACAATGGAACCACTTTTAGAACATCAAAACGTTGTATAAAAGGAGTTATAAGCTTTTAAAGGTTCCAAATTTTGTCCAATCTCCCCTTCTGACTCGATCCACTGTGCGACGACTTTCGACGTCAATGACTCTTCGCTTTCACAACCTCAAAAGCGCAAACTTTCATTCGCGAGTCTATCAGGGGTTTGCGCTTTTGGGATTTACGAAGAGATAAACATCTAAGAAGTATCGTTTAAATGTGACAATTTTTTCTCTAAAATCATATTAATATTTTCGTGCCTAATACCCTTGCCTAATTATTTAAACTGCAAGTGGTAAGGGGGGGGGGGCAGGAGCTTCTTAGACGAATTACACTAAATATATTTTGTTTGCTTTCAGAATATTTTAAAGTCGAATCACTCGAGTTCTTGCACCCATTGAGTAAATTAGAAGTTCTGAGGATGAAGAATGTTTCTTTCGTGCAGGTATATTCATTGCCAGGAATGTTTTTCATCAATAAGTCTCAATTGAAAATAGTAGATTTAGAGCAAAGCCCAAAATTAGCATCAATTCTACTGCCGCACTTGGCAAAACTGCCGCACTTAGAAAAGCTAAGGTAAGTATCTTTTTGATCTATATCAGTCCACTTTGTAACGCAAAGCTAATAAGTTTAATTTTTTATTTGTATAGCTTGGAAAATTTTTGGAGCGTGCCTTGAAATCGCCATGGAGTACATAGAGTCGTAATGTAAATGGGGGAGCTGGTGCCACTTTTAGGCATTTTTCAGGTCCCAATTCCGAGACTCCAGCGTCATGCCGGTTCACTTTTCCGATGTATAATCGGTTGTTTTTGATACGGGAGGACCCGGCCATCTAATGTGAACAGAGAGGTTATAGGAATTACTAGGGGGCTACGCCCCCTGGCCGCTACGCGGCCCAACCCCCTGAAGGCGCTCCGCGCCATCAATGGGCCGCTTCGCGGCCCCATTTTTACCCTCCTATCAGTGTTAGTTTTATTTTTCCCCTAAAAAAATTACGATATGACGTATACTTTAATTTTAAACTTTACTTAAAATTACTTTAAAATTAAAAGGACGCGTTTTGGAATGACTGCTTCATGAAATATTGCAGTAAAACGATGAACAATGATATAGTCAGGTAATAATTAAGATTTCTTGATTTGGGGACCGAACCCACACCGAGTACAAAGTGGACGCATTCGTCGTCTTAGACGACTTAGCCACCGCTCGACTTGAGGTCACCTGGCGAATCTTGTGTAGATAAGTGTAGAGCTGATGCGCAGGCTACACAGCTACTGCGCAACCTCCTCGACCACTGCGCATCCTCCCGCGCATAGCGGTAGCAGTACCGGAGCATTCTATAAACTCACTCACTTTTATAACGTGATTTTAAAAAAACCTGGATCCTTTTTCCAAAATCTGATTACAGCGGGCTCATCTAGGGCCAATTACCTGTCGATTTACGCAAAAATCATGGAAATCGGCCCGGTAGAACGCTCAAACGAACTATGACAAAAAGTATAAATTTACATTGTTTAAATGGGAGAATTCGCAACTTTACCACGTAATATAAAAAAACCTGGGCCATATTTTGAAAATCTGAAAAGAGTTGGCTTATCTAGAGACAATTGCCCGTCGATAGCCGCAAAAATCACGAAAATCGGCCCGGTAGATCGCTGGAACTAAGCGTTACCAGTTTCGCAAAATTAGGAGGTCTCGGAGCTTATAGTATAGATTACGTATCCTACATCGCAATTTTGGATCGAAAATATATCGAGAAAGTGACCGAGGCTCGGCGCACACCGGTCTCGGAACTCGTCGACAAGAACATGGCGCCAGCTCTCCCATTGTACTCTATAATTGACATCGCACCGGATCTGGTGCGGGAAATGGGAATGGGACGCGGCAGGGGTAGGTATACGTCTCCGAGTGTGGGCATATTCTCCGTCAGGCGCTCAGGGCGGCAACTTTTAAGGACCCGCCGACGCGCGTCTGAATGGGTGCTCAAAATACGCAACTTTGAGCGCATTTTTCGTGGGTTCATATTGTTCAAACACTAATTTGCTCCGGCTATACAACGTGTCATTAGGATGAAAGCAAGGTGGAAGAAACCAAGGGTGTCACTACCGCGGTGGATGACGCCATAAACCAAATTTTTCAAAGCGCGACGTCTGGGTTACTGTCCAATGTAGTGCGTTGATGTTTGGACATATCTTAATATTTTTAGCTGATCTACAAGAATGAAGCATCAAAGTACGATTCTTTGAGCAGCGCGACCAGAGACAAGAGACCCTCCACTAGTATCTTTGCCATGGTGGAAGCTTTTACTTTCGGGACTTCAGCATTCTACTGATGACTTAGCTACATGGTTGATGTTTAACAACGTGTTGGCAGTTTTGTTTTGCAAACAAGTCGAAAATGGCCGAAGTTTGGGAAACGTGTTCGGCTCATGACGTCACCCGAAACTCATCGTCCAGCATGTAGGTAGGTCAACAGCCGAAATTAGGGTGATGACTGTTACTCACTTGTAATTGTCCATAAGGAATGGAGATGTTGCACGTGTGAGGAATTTGCGATTTGACTATTAATTCTTATGTAAAAGTTCGCGAGAAATACGATGGTGCCACTGGTTTTCTCTGAAATCGTCTCCGAAGCTCAAAAAAAGGTCTCAACTTGAGGCCAAAATGGAGAGGATATCCCACGCTATCCTGAGAGTCCACCTCTACATCAAGACAAACTCTCCATGCAAAGATAGGGAGCAAATACATTGACAGAGCTGCCACTTTATTTGGGGACTCTAAAACTGAAAACACGGCATCACTGGTAATGTATTTGCTCCCTATCTTTGCATGGAGAGTTTGTCTTCGTGTAGAGGTGGACTCTTAGGATAGCGTGGGATATCCCCTCCATTTTGGCCTCAAGTTGAGAGTTTTTTTTAGCTCTGGAGATGATTTTAGAGAAAACCAGTGGCACCATCGGGTTTCTCGCGAACTTTTACATAAGAATCAACAGTGAAATCGCGAATTCCTCACACATGCAATATCTCCATTATTGAATTCCCGAAAGTAAAAGCTTCCACCTGTCGCCAAGAGGTCAGTGGCGGGTCTCTTGTCTCTGAGCGCAACTGACCCATTTTAACAAATCGTCACCTTCCAGGCAAAGTATCACAAGCGCCATGTGACGTTTGAAAATTTCCGCCGCCATTTTATTTCTTTACTGAGAAATTGTTGGTTGAATCTCTTTGGAAATTTCACTAAATTTTATCGGCAGCACAAAGAAAATTCAGTGAAATTTTCGGACAGCTTCGTTGAACATATTTCTGTAAAAAAAATAAAATGGCGGCGGAAATTTTTAAACGTCGCATGGCGCTTGTGATACTTTGCCTGGAAGGTGACGAAATGTGATGATTGGCTTTTCCTTCCTCAGCCTACGTCGGACGGAGCTTAAGACGTTGCCGGCAGACCCGTTCACAACTGCGGAGACGGTCCGGCTGGACCTGAGCATGAACCCGCTCCACTGCACGGAGGACTTCCAGTGGGTCCTCGATCAGTGCGAGCAGAGGCGCCCGAACGGCGACGACTCCATCCTCATCTCGCCCGATATCACCTGCTGCGACGCGCCCTACAGACTCGAGGGGGTCGAACTCCGATGCGTCGATGACTTCGGCGGCTTGGAGAGCAACTCAACATCGGACGCAAAAAAAACGGATCGTATCCGATAGTGGTTCCATTTATCGTTTGGTTAAAACATAGAGTACATAGAGTTGTAATGTAAATGGGAGAGCTGGCGCCATGTTCTGCTCGACGAATTCCGAGCCCGGTGTGCGCCGAGTTCGGGTCGCTTTTTCGATACATTTTCGATCCAAAATGGCGGTCCTATATCCTTTGTTGTTGTTGTTGTTGTTGTTGTTGTCATCGGATGGCCGGGTACCCGTGTATCGCAAACAATCGATTATGTATCGAAAAAGTGACCCGGCGTCACACAGGAGTCTCGGAATTCGGGACATGGAAAATGCTTAAAAGTGGCGCCAGCTCTCCCACTTACATTACGACTCTATGTACTCATGGGTTAAAAGCAATAGAACATAACCCCAAACAAAAAATTTAGGATTTAAGTTGGAAAAGCTGTAAATGAGAAAGTTCCTGACAAATCCGCTTTTCATTGCCATTTGGTACCCAAAAGAATAAAACATCTATCACGAAAGACCCGTTCCTCAGATTTCAAAATTGACTCTCGACGCTATGTTTACATGTTGAACCAATCCATATCGATACCATCTCACCTGTTCGATGTATCGAATACAATCTACTGCGACAGTGAACTCTGCACTATACTTCGGTCTCTCCGTTGATCCAGCCGCACTGAAAAAAAATTCTCGGCGTTTTTACCACGGTCCGTTGGTACCTTTACCATCTCACTTTTTTTACCAATTATTGGTAATTTTACCAAGATAGACTGGTAAGCTTACCTACAAACCGGTATTTTTACTGTTTTTTTCAGGTAAGAATACCACTTTTATTGGTAATCAATTCCCGGTAACTGTGCCCTTTTATCTCGGTGATTCTACCACACTCGATAAAAAATATTGGCGTTTTTACCAAGGTCCAGTAAAATTACCGAGAAAGTTCAATAATTTTACCGAGATTTCTCGGTAAAATTACCAATTCCATAAATGGTAATTTTACCAAGAAAAAACTGGGATCAAATAGAACCCTGAATTCTTGGTAATTTTACCCTATTCTTAGTAAATACACCGAGGTTTGTTTTCAGTGCGGGATCTAAATCGTAAAACTATAGAGCGCAGATTAAAACCCCCTTGATTTGAAACCAACGGATGGAACTATACAATACAACAGTATAACAGCTTCTTGTAGAGTTAGAAGAGCACCTCACAAAGGGAACCTAGGGAAAGTGAGTGCAGGGAGACACTCAATCAAGGGACATCTGCGCCTGGATTTTTGAATCAGTGGCGTGGCGTGAATTGCGATGTATCGATTGTTACGGCATTTAAACCTATGATACAGAATCGATTATCAAGGTGTTCGCTGCGAACACCCTGTTTATCGATCCTTTTCCATAGGTTTAAATGGCATAACAATCGATAAATCGCAAAGCACGCCACGCCACTGTTTTGAATCGTTATCCAACGACCCCGATCGATAAGTAAGACCGCTAAGATAGGGATATATCGACCAGCAGGTCGATTTTGGATCGTTCTCGAATGATACTGATCGATAAATCCCTATCGTAGCAATACATTTTATCGATCAAGGGGAGCTGAGGGGTCTATTTTGGAGAAGTCCCTTAAAACTTGGGAGCTGTAATTCCTAAGAGGGGTCGGGGAGCCATCATGGGGAATTGAATAACTGAGTCGCCTCATCAACCACCTAGTGCGACACACCAAAATAAGAAAAAATAAAAAAGAGGTAATTGTAAGGCTATTGATACCGAACAGTCGATAGAGATACAATTTTAAAGATGGGAGATGTGCGCCGCACTTTTAAATCCTTTATATTGTCTCCGGTGGGGGTCACGTAGATTTCAAGGAGGCCAGCTCAGCCCCTCCTCCTCCTTCTGTAACTCCGCCCGCGTTGAAACCTTCTCAGGGGTTAATTACACTTCGAGAGAGCCGTTGTAGCTTTCAGATTGGATAGGTATAATAGATTTTAGGCCCAATATAAAATTCTAGTCCTAGTTACCATGTTTAGGATTAGATATTTCATTTGGTGCCAATAAATCCCCGATGAAACTGAAAAACTTTCGAAAATAATTTATAAATCGAAAAGGGCACTGCCAAAATTCTCGTCGGTGACTTCCTTACTACTACAACAGTAGCGGACCCGTGGGCATGGTGGGATCCCCCCCCCCCCCCCCCCCCGGACCAATAAAGGAAAAAAGGGGGAAATAGGAGAAAAGAGGACTTTTTATCATTTCATTGTGATCTTCTTACATGAGAATTATACTTTTTGTTATTAAATATGAAAAGAACAGATTATACAAGCTACTGAGAAACTTGTTACTAATTTACTTAACCGTATATGAGGAAGGTGTAAATATACAAGTAAGAATGTAACTATTGGGTCAAACCTGGGGGCTGGTTAGTTTATACGGTTGAACCCTTTCGAGGCGTCTGATCTCGTTCGAGTTACCTTACAGTTGAATGGCCTCAATACTTGGGTGAGAATAGACACGCGCGGCGCTCTTCGTTTGTAGCGACTTTACCCAGGTAGCAGTGATGGCGATACATGGCGATTTTATCGGTTGGTCATCGCGATTAAATCGGTGGCAATATATCGAGATATTATCGCATTGAAAATAGCGATATATGGCGATGAAATCGGCACACATCGCAATTTTTGGTTCGATAAAATTGGGATCAATTTCCGTCAATAAAATCGAGATTAAATCGCCATTTATCGCGATTTTTATCTCGAAAATATCGCAATAAATTGTCGGGCGATAAAAGCGCGATATGATCGAGGATAATCGCTCAGATGTAGATGATCCTGGCGATTCAATCGCCGATAAAATCGCAATATATATCGATTTTTCTCTTGAGAAATGCTACTTGGGAGTGATAAACTGCGAGACCATCTCTATTCCAAAATCCATTTGGATATCCGAATTGCGTTCGCCCTAGCGTGCTTCGACAATTTTACTACATTTTGCAATTAGGAGCTATAAATTCCGGCCCGGTTTAAAAACAACGTATATGCCTTTAGTTTTCCGATGCACATAAATCTTTTTTCAGATGAGCCAGTTTTTATAGGTCCAAATTGGAAAATGCAGTCCAATTTGTCTAAGAGCACGATTTTGTAGTTTTTGAAGAGTTCCTAAATTAGTCCGTGCTGTACACCCCTAGATCTGAGTTACATAGGCCCATGATGGGCGGATTATTGGCTTACATAGAAAAGTTTATTATCTACGCTTAATGGAGATTTTCACCCTAGTAACCAATTTAGCTTCTTAAATTTAAATACACATTCGTCTTTTTTTTATTTTTATATGCTCTTTTCATTTCAATTTAGTATCTAGTTCAAACCTAAATATATGTACTTAGCCACATTAGATGGTCCTAACAGTTCTTCATTAAATAGTATGTTTAGGCTAAAAGAGGAATTATTCGTCAATTTTCAACTTTCAAATAATGCAAAAATTTAATGGTAAAATTGCTGAAAATTCAATCTGAGAGGGCCTGTTGTTTAACATTTTCCGAGTCCCATAGAAATCAGCGAATGGCCCCTCCCTCCAACTCATTGTGGATCCGCCGCGAACTTACACCGTAGTGGAAATTGTTTTGCCAAATTCCCTTTTTGCCCCGCACTTAGCGCATCACCCATCCAGACAAGGAAATCAGGAGTATTCTGTAAAAGAAACCTTATAGCAGCCTCATACGATTTCTCTCGACAAATTTGGAAAAACGTCCCAATTTCTGATCTTAGTCCATTCGATTGTAGACCTACCGCAATCGGCACATTTGCCAAAATACACTTACATCGTCCTTTCCTGTCTAAAAAGTCCTTGGTGAAGTGCAATCTTGTGTTACCTCCACTGAACATGAAAAAACCGAACATCTCATCGCATTTTCTTTGACAGTCTTCCTTTGTGCGTGTACCATGAACGAGGTAGCCCATTGTTTTGGTTTTCAAGAACTCTGGAAAAAGGAGTAAACGTATATTAAAGACACTATTTTTTTCATCACACAATTGACCACTAGACAAGGTGCGAATTTAAGCATTCTGATTCTGCAATTTTGGATGAACAATTGGACAACGCACGAACCGAAGCATTCTGATATGTCGACGCACAATGGGTCGATTCAATAGGTGGGGTCGGACAAAATGTGGAAACTTCAAACGCTTTTAACTCCGTTAATACAAAATTTCGAGGTTCTAGAAGTGGTTCCGTTGGTTCCCTTGTAAAATTTTCCTCTGGAATCACTCCTTAAAATTTAAAATGTGGCAAAATAAACATGAAAATTTGCAGTTTAAGTAAAAACGTTCATGTCCGACCTCTCTAATTGACTCGATCCACTGTGCGACGGTGGAACATGGGCGAAGATTCCTGAACTTCTTCCTCTTTCTTCGGGCTTCCTACAACTATCCAAACTCGGGAATATTATCTTTGAAGTTTGTTCTTTCAAGTAGATCTGTTTCAAAACTGATGACAGCCAGGTAAGAAAGTCTTTCCCGCAGCATTGCATTCCTCGGATAGTTTTTAAGAATTTTTATTTTGTCGAAAGACCGTTCGCCGGACATCACCATCACCATCTTGAAAAAGGTTCTAAATGGAGTGAAAATACTTGAAAAACAACTAATAAGTTTATCATCTGAGTGTGGGAAGTTTTGTATATGCATACGGGCATCAAGCCTATTTTTTGAACTTGTGTGTCACTTTGAAAAGGCGTCCAAAGGGGCCAGTGGCCGAGGGATGAAAGTTCGTCGGACAGTTTTTAGAAAAACGAGACGAAAAATCCGAGGAGTGTTCGTGGGTCTTCCCCGGGGAAATTTTTGAGAATGAGGCACCCCTAAAATGCAATTTTTGCTCGTTCTTGTGGAAAAATATCACCTTTTCCTCCTTTTCATTTTGGAATTCCAGAGGGATAAAATCTCGTTATCGCCTTCGGACAAGCCCCTAATGAAAGTAGGGAGGAATTCTATGTTCCTCTATCAAACATTAAGAAAAGTCTACCGAGATGCAGGCCCGCCACATCCCATCTCGGGCCCTGGTACCAATATTCTGGCCCGGGCCCCTAGCACGGGGGGGGGGGGGGTCCGGGGGTCCTCCCCCGGGAAATTTTTGAAATTTTAAATCTATTTGGACGCATTATGAAGCTCTTATGATGGAGATTTTCCATCAATTTCTGCACAATAATTACGCCTTTTTGTTTATTTTCAGCACCAAATACTTTCGAATTGTTGCATTCAAAACATCTATAAATGTTTTTTTGAGGGGAGCAGATGATAATTTTCAATTCTAGGCTAAGCCGGGCCCCCCTGGACTACCCTTTCGTACGTCTATGGCAAGGGAGTTGAGCCATTGAAGTTGAGGGTGCCCAGACAGGAGCCTCTTAGCATCCCACAACGGAAGAAAATGAAACACAGTTACTAAAAATATCATTCTACATATACTCAAAATCTTGAAAATCGCTAAAAAAGTAAGAAAAATTTTATAGTGCTCTAGCGTGTTTTTGAAATTTTATTCACCTTTTGCGGAATTTTTAGGGTAATTTTTTCACTTTTCCCCACGAGACAAGGGTTACACATGAATTCGTAGTGGTTTGTCACCTGCGTCACGGGCCCCTCCAGGGCCCGGGCCCCGGTACCAAGGACCCAGTATCCCCCCCCNAAAAAAAAAAAAAAAAAAAAAAAAAAAAAAAAAAAAAAAAAAAAAATCCTCGAAAACTTTTGGGAATGGGCGGCTCTCCTCGCCCCATTCACGCGGCGCCATTGTACGAGTAAGAGGGCGTCCAGGGAAATTTTTTCATCGGAATCAGAAATCACCGACAATTTTGACATATAAATCGATACAAGAAAATTCTAAATTTTCCTGAAGCCTCTACGTCAATTTAGCGAACTTCCATGTTTTCAAGGAGTGTGCGCTGTTCCCCACTTTTAAGGGTCAGCATTTTGGACACGAGTGGGTCATTTTAGACTTCTTTATATCGACTTGGGTTTTTCCTGCACTTCTTGGTTAAGATGAAAAAATGTTAAAATGATGGCATGAATCACGTTTTTAAGGTAAAGACCTCCCTCCTCCCCTCCCTGAAGTCGAGGCGGAGGGGCCCCGGACTTCCTTGACGTCGATCTCTCCTCATTCCCGCGAACCTGGACTTAGTCCGACTTAACATAAAGCTAGATAACAGCTTGGTAGGGTAGATCTGGGCCACCGTGACTTTGCCCTGTCCCCTGTATGTGTTTCCCGGCATTTTTAGCTTGAAACATGTTTCATAAGATTTCTTAGAGCTGCACACTCTTCCCCTCAGTTTTACTCTTACACTAATACTTATTAGGGTTCAAATTTTTGAGTCTAATGAAAATTTTAGGGATTTTTCGACCTTGATTTTTACGCTGGATATTGTGGACCCAGCACTAATTCTCCTACCTTGTTACTTAAAATTCAGGCCACATTTTTGTTTTTTCCCCCTTGCGACTCGGAAGTAGATTCCCCAAAAAGCATAATGTAGTACAACCTACGGAGATAGGCTGTACTCTGCGAATACATACTCATCAATTGATATCTTTGGCATGCGACATGCTCAAGGGAATGAAGAACGCCCTAAATTAGGAGGAATTGCAAAATAGTCTCCTCGGTTTTCTTTTCTCCTATTTCTTCATTTTTAAAATATTTATTTTTCATTTTAATCCCCATCTTATTGAATCTTTCTCTACCATGGCCTGCATTTTACGCATTTGCTCTTAAGGCCCTCCTCATTCTCCGCCTTGACTGCAGTAGAGTACCTTTATAGGGAGAGTATGGACAGCTCGAAAATTTGGAGGGTAGGTTTGATCAGGTCATGTAGCTCTTGGGGCCCAGAAGGGCTTCCGACCTATGAACTCGAGTTATTCAGTGGTACTTTGTTTCATAATTCTTACTATCCGCCGTTTCATAACTGATCAAAACTTATTTAGCACGTATAAAACTTTGATTTCGCATACATTTTCTCGATTTCATATTCTTAAGACGCTGGTTTACAATGCGCTGCCGGTTGCCGGCCGTATTGATGAATATTTAAAACGCATAGGTTGGCAGCGGCACTTTTCTAGTGATTTTCGTTTGATGCCGCGATCACACGCTGAATGTGGGAGCTGAATGTGGCTTGAATATGGAAGTCATCGGCCCGATGCCTGAATTTTATGCGTGACGCGCAAAATTCAGCAACGATTCTCAGCGACCATCGGATAATGTCGGATTTGTCTGAACTATTCGAATAGATTTGATACACATTTGGATGATAATAACTCGGATGGACCACTAGGCAAGGTACAAATTTCAGCATTTTGATACATGCTCCGTAAGTAAAATTTCACGTAGAATACGACGCGCACAACGAAAATTACAGAAATCAACTCCTTCCAAAGATATTTAATGATTCTTGGTGCGTGAATTCAAACCACCCGCTCATGAAAACTCAATGCTCAGCGTGATTCACATCGTGCGCTAAACGTTATCATGACAGTATTTGCGCTATAAAAATCCGACAACCTGAGTCTTGACGCTTTGGCTCAACTGTAGCTAATTGCTTATAGTTTGAACAACAAATGGTGGGAAATGAACATTACTTGATTGAGAAGCTTGTTGAAACCGTTGTAGTGCGCGATTTGACTCACGTAGAGCTTTGAGTTTCTTGTCAGCGGCCAGTTCAAATTCCTCGTAACCAATGTGAAATAAAAACGTTCATATCCTCGTTTGGAGTTTGTTAAATCAGTTTTCGTTGCGCGAATCGTGCTCTACGTGAAATTCTGGTCAAGAGACATGTATCAGATTGCATGAATTCGTACTTCGTCTAGTGGTCCATTAGTGAAATTTCAGCTGTTGAGCGCTGACTGTTGACTGCCACATTCACCTGCCAAATTCAGCGTGTGATTGCGGCATCACACATTGTCGTCCATTTCGGCCCTAAGAGCTGAATAAATCGAGTTGTCCATACTATTTCTCTATTAAGGTACTCTACACCGCAGTATACCCTCACATGCATTTTGGCAAGTAACACTGACGTCGCACAGTGCAGTGTCCTTATGGGCGGATGGGAAATAATTCATATCTGATCGAATAATTCATGGAATTCAATGAAATTTTGACAGTGTTAAGTATTCATCGTGTACTTGCTTGTATTAAAGTCAAAGTTTCCAAAATTCCCCAAATGATTGAAAATGGCGTTGCCAAATTTTGCCAAATGTGCCGTTATTTTTCCACTCATTTTAATGACATGAGTACATTATTTTTGTGGGTAAAGGAGAGAAAACCAACCTGGAATCATAACTAATAAGGCTTACGAGGGTATATCTGGCCCTCTCATAACACCTCCCTTTTAAATACAGTGTTGCCAACGCGCCTGGAAAAAGCAGTTTTTTTAGCAATAATTCAAGGATTAAAATGTATAGATTAACGCAAGCTCGCTCCAAAAATCGACTGAATACTTACAGATGCTAACGATGCATATTTTATTTTTTAACTCCGGGCCTAACAAAACTAAGGTCTATCCTTTCTTTCATTCCGAATTTCAATGCTGCGTGAAATGAAAGCTGAAAAATTCAAATATACACTATAAAATAATGAGGTTTCCGAGGATCAGCATGAGAAAAAGGATGAACACTTGGGTTTGGTCATATTACAAGTCTTTAATAAAAAGGAAAAGGCATTTCAAAAAATAATAAATTCAGCACAATAAAACATCACCGAAAATTTACAGCAAAATTAAACTTCACAAGAGACAAGAGAAAAAAGAAAGATAAAAACAAAAAAACCATAAAAATACAAAAAATCCATAAAAAATACAAGACATTTTGTCAAATTTTCGTCTGGGACACGTTTGTTTGCGAATAGTTCTCGGAGTTTCCCCTCAATTGTTGTAACGCACTCCTTTTTCGATGCCCGTGTCCACAAGTCGAAGAGATCTAGTCTAGGCGCCTGGTAGCTAAAAATGAGGCTACCTGGAATTTCGGGTACACAGCAATTTTTTTGACTTACTTTATGTTTTTTGGATCGCTGAATCCGAATATGAAGTTTCCAACCGCGTATCTGGTGAGCATTTTCCGCCATTTTGAAAAAAGGCCTTTTTTTGCGGTTTTTTTTTTTACATAGCGGCTACGCATGAGAAAAAGTCCCAGATTTAGTTAATGTTTTGAATAGCTGACATAATTTGGAAGAAAATGGTGTATACATATGCTAGGTTTGCTTAAAATTTGAGGAAGATACAGCATTGTGAACATCGTGCCCATTCACGTTTTCGCGGCGCACCCGTCAACGCGCGATCCGGCTCGCCGCGGTCAGCCAAGTTCCGAAATCCGAGGTTCCTCAATTTTTGAGCAAACTTAGCATATCCATATACCGTTTTCTTCCAAATTATGACAGCTATTCAAAACATTAACTAAATCCGGGTATTTTTCTCATGCGTAGCCGCTATATAAAAAAAAACGCGAAAAAAGGCCTTTTTAGGCCATTTTTTCAAAATGGCGGAAAATGCTCACCAGATACGCGGTAGAAAACTTCAGATTCGGATTCAGCGACCCCAAAAACATAAAGTAAGCAAAAAAAATCGCTGTGTACCCAAAATTCCAAATAGACTTACCGGGCGCCTGGACTAATCAGAGTTTTTCAGAGCAAGACCTTGAGACAGAAAAAACTATATAACTTTATTATTCGCAGCCAGACGCAGATGGGACTTGAAAATTCAGAATCTACAGGAAATTTGCAATCATTATCACTTGTCAGGAAAATTGGTTATTTTTGGTTTTTCTTAAAAACGTCTTTAAAGTTTAAGT